AGTGGAGTCAGTGAATCTTTCAATTATTTCAAAAAGTTGATTGTGAAAGATGGGAGAGAAGGTGGTGCTGGCCAGGAAGTTTTCAGAACCCTTGGCTTGTCTTCCGCAAGGAGGCCTTCCAGAAAGCACCAGCTAGGCCAAACGCCCGCTGTCCACACACCGTTGATCCCTGTGCATGTCCCCATGACAGCCCGTACAGTCGGTGCCTCCTGTCCTCCTGGCCTGACAAAGTCTTGTCTCCAGTGCCCACGGCCTGCCATCTGCTTACTGCCTGGCTCCTCCAGTTCTGGGGGAGCCCATGCAGCCCTGTGCACTGCATCAGGAGGACTGAGGGATGGAGATTAGACTGAGGGAGCAGGGGTGGATGCAGAGGAGCAGGACAGAGCCTCATGGTGGTCCAGGGGAGCAGTGACAATGAATTTGACCAGATGACAGTGGGAGGTGGCAACAAGTGATCGGATCCACCATTTATCTGGAAGGTAGAGCTGATAGGACCTACTGAGGAGTTTGATGGGGCAGAAAGGGCTGACTCCTGGATTTTTGGCCTGAACTAGGGGAAGGGTGGTGCCATTTTTCAGGTGGGGAAGACTAGGGGAGGAAGGAGTGTCAGGGAAATCATGAGCTCTGTTGTAGACACTATCATTTTGAGATGCATGCTAGACATCCACATGGAGCTGCTGATGAGGCAGCTGGATAGAGTTCTGGAGAGAAACCCTGTTTGGACATTTGGAAGCCACCAGCATCCAGATGACACTTAAAGTTGTGGACTGGGTGATACCAAGTAGAGGGCAGTGGGGAGAAAAAGGACTGATTTTAACAGAACAAGCGGCAAATTATCAGGTTGTTCCTTAAAGGGGTGACTCAGTGTGTGCTGGAATCACCTGCAAGGTGGTTGCTGTAAGTTGTTTCCCTAGCAGGTCCTTGGGAACCGGCATTCAGAAATTCTGGGCCTTGGCGAGCAGCTTAGGAAGACAAATACTCCCAAGTAATTCTGACAGAGGCAATCGTCTGAGAAACTCTGCCTTAGGGGACAGGTAGAGGGGGTGTGGGGAGGTGGAGGGCAAGGAACACTTCCAGGGCTGGGGTGACCAGATAGTAGGATCCTGAAGAATGTTCCTGTTCTCTCCAGGGTCACTGTGAGGTCTTAATCTCCACCATGCCCTTCTGCCCCATGTGGGTAAAGGTAGACAGGTGTGGCACCCTACACCCAGGCCTTTGCTGATCATGTACCAGTCTGCACCCCTCCCCGAGCCTCTCAGCTCCACAGATTGGACAACTTACTAAAGGGAGCCCTCAGCTGCATCCTTGATGATGGGCTGTGATGGACCAAGGACCCCCAGTGAGGCTCCTGGCTGGGCTCCGCAAGACAGATGCCAAATACAGCCACGGCTCCTGTGACTCGATGAGTCGAAGGGATGGCAGCCTGCTTTTCCTCAAGGAAGGAAGTCATCACGTGAATATTCTAACTGCCTATTGGCTGCAGGGGTTTGGGGATCTTCTCCAAGCCGGTGTCCTTACCATCACACTAAGGGCTATGGGCTCACTCACTCTCACATGGGAATCCCCAGCCCTGAGCCTCACAGATCCAGGCCAGCCTTGCCAATTGCTGAAAGACCTTTTCTGCGATGGCTTGTCATTATTAAGCCAGAACTCATTATTTCCCCTCTCCCTCCACACGTGTGTCTCCCTTCCATGTCCGTATTTTGCTTTTCTCATCATTGGGTTCAAGTGTGACCAGCACTTCTGAGACCTTCTTTCATTCTGGCCTGTCGCTCCATCTTGATAACTCTTTCTTTACAATGTCTTTGAGTCTGTCCCTTTCTCTCTGTTCCCACTGCCCCTGCTCAATACTCTCATTTGATTAGACTATTGTATAAGCCTCTCTTATGAACCGAATATTTTTGTCTTCCCCATATTCATGTTGAAGCTCTCACTCCCAGTGTGATGGTAGTTGGAGGTGGGGCCTCTGGGAGGTAATTGGTTGAGATGAGGTCATGAGGATGGGGCCTCCATGATGGGATTAATGCCCTTGTAAGAAAGTGGAAGAGAGGCCAGAGCTCTTTATCTCCACCATGTAAGGCCACAGCAAGGAGGGGGCCGTCTCCAAGCCAGGAAGAGAGCCCTCCCAGGAAACTCACTCAGCTGGCACCTTGATCCTGCACTTCCCCACCTCCAGAACTGTGAGAGATAAATGTCTGTTTTTTAAGCCACCCAGTCCATGGTGTTTTGTTGTAGTAGCCCAGTCTAAGACAGCCTCCTACCCTGTTTCTCTGCTTCCTGCCTCATCCTTCATGTGGAATTTTAGTTTCTTTCACACCACTTATCACTGATTGTAGTAATACATTTGTTGTGTTTATTTGTTTGGTGTTTATCTTCATAACCAGATGACAGGCTCCATGAAGTCATGCTTCTTTAGTTTACCACTCTGTACCCAGGACTGAACACCATGTCCAACACATAATACATGCTTCATAATATTTCTTGACAAAATGAAAAGCTGACTACAATAAAAGCCTCCAGCCAAGTCTCTCTGCCTCCTGCTCTATTCTTTCTGATTAATGTCTGATGTTTGGCCAGAGCCATGTTCTTAAAACACGGGTTTTAACCTACCCAACCCTTCCTTGGCAGAGTGTTTATTGGGTCCCACCACACTTTTTGGAGGTTTATGGGAAATTAAGTGAAGTTAGGATCGAGATGATAGCGGGAAAATGTGGTGTGGGTCATTAATAACAACGCATTTAATTGTAAATTGGGGTTTACTTCAAACCCAAAACTGTGGGTTTGCTTTTTTAACCCATGAGCACAACAGGAAATGAATGAGTCAAGCTTCCTAGTATCTAGGGTCCTCTAGGTTGAGGCTTGATCAAATCAGCCCTGACTGCCCGGACCTGCCACTTACGCAGCAGACTGCCAGTGGTCCCAGGTGGTCACGGCCTACAGCTTCCCTTGCTGTGCTGTTCACATGTGGGGCTCAGAGACATTCCCCCCAGAGAGCAGCGTGGGCTCAGGGGGTGGGGCCCAGCCTCCTAGGGACTGTGTGTCTTCTGTGAAAGTGTGGACACTGAGGCGGGGAGATGGATATATGTTGGGTAGACAAGGCACACCCTGACTATGGCTATTTACAAAGTTGGGAAAACACAGTTCTGTTGAATTTCCTCTTCAGTCAGTGGTGGCCCATTTACCCCCTCTCCTTACTAAGAGGAAGTTCCATTAGCTCACAGAAAGACAGCATCACGCATTCCTCAGCTTGGAAAAGCCCTTGAAGGAGATTGCTCAGTTGAAGAACAGCCGGGGCCTTCTGTTGGCGACTGTAATCTGAAGTCCCAGGAAACCTGCAAGTGTCTCATCAGCCCTAGCTGCTTGGAAGGACTCACTCAGTTTCTCCCAAGGGCCTAGTGTGAGTGGTTACAGAGCAGCCTCAAAGCAGAGGTGAACCAGCGCAAACTCCTACTCATTCCACAGAAACGGAGCAGGCAGGGTCCACACCATGGGCTGCATCTTCTGACTTCCTTCTGTCCTGCAAGCTGCTCCTTGATCTGTCATATCCAACCACACTGGCTGCAGTTCCTTGAATGCAATTCCTTTTACTCTCTGAATCTTTATATTTACACCTCAGGGGCCTTTTCCATACAGAAGAAGCCATCGCTAATACCTCATTTCCAGGAGAAAGTGACCAACGCTACTTTTCTTTCCAGTCTTGACAAGGAGGGCTCTAGGGCAAAAGCCTGAGCAGGTCTGAAATGGTGTGATATTAGTCAAGTTCTCTGAAGATGATAGGATCAGCACTTCCTCAGAACTAGTTATTTTCTCAGAATGAATGGGTTAAGGCAAGATTGGAGATGACACAGGGCAAAAGAGGTGAGGTGTCCCCATTTACCTGCTAGGGGATCCAGGTAGGACAAAGAGAAAAGCCACCCAGTGGCTGGGCGTGGTGGCTCATGCCTGTAATCCCAGCACTTTGGGAGGCCGAGGTGGGCGGATCAAGAGGTCAGGAGATCAAGACTATCTGGGCTAACACAGTGAAACCCCGTCTTTACTAAAAATACAAAAAAAAATTAGCCGGGCATGGTGGTGAGTGCCTGTAGTCCCAGCTACTTGGGAGGCTGAGGCAGGAGAATAGGGTGAACCCAGGAGGCGGAGCTTGTAGTGAGCCGAGAGCCGCCACTGCACTCCAGCCTGGGCGACAGAGAGAGACTCCATTGAAAAGAAAAGAAAGAAGAAAAAAGAAAAGAAAAGAGCACACCCAGGAAGCTCAGGCCGCGGGCCTGGGTTTGTTCTACCCACTGGGCTGAGCATGGGGAGAAATTCAAACCCACGTGGGGTTTTTCATGGATGGAGCAGGCTGCTTCTAGAATAGAGTGCAGAAGGCTTCCACACGTAGGAGAACCACCACTGGGACACACCTCCTGGGTGACGGGAGCCAGGGACAGGGCTCCGGAGACAGAGCTCCGGGGAGGTCCGGTTTGCTGTCTTCCTGGAAAGGAGGGATTTCCAGGTTCTTCTCTCCACATCATCAGAACTCACATCCAAAACGTTGCATTGTGCTTTCCACCGTTTCCTTTTCTGTCTTCTGAAAGAGCCCCGCTGCATACTCCTTATCGCTTTCATTTTCACCTGCTTCCAAGAAAAGCTGCCCATTTCTCTTTACAGCCTTAACAGCCAATGACAGCTATTTGCACATGGGGACCACCACATGCCTGGCACCATGTTAAACTTTTTATGTGCAATTTCATTTAAACCTCACAACATCCCCATGGGGAGTTGTCAACTCCACATGACGAGTGGGGAAATGAAAACCTGGAGGGGATAAGTAATGGGCCCAAGGTCACAATACAGGTAGCACAAGGACTCCCTGGGTCTGTCGGATTTGAGCCTGAGTCTTCGGCCCTGTTTCCTTAAAGTGACATCACACATCCCACCCATTATCACCCTCCTCATTATCAACAACCGAGTCCTCCATAAGCCACTGTGCCATCAGCAATCTGACTGGTTTCACACGATTCCTGTGGTCTTGACAATTTATTGGAATAAAAACCATGTATCACTCATTGACAGAGCTTTGTGTTCAAGGCACATTCATACCCATTTCCTCAGCAGAACCTCACATCCCTATGGATTAGACAAGTCAGTCATTATTTTGCAGATGAGGAAACTGAGGCTGCAAGAGGATAAGTGACTTCCCCAAGGTCACGTCCCTGGGAACAGCAGAGTCAGAGCTAGAACTTCAGGGCTCCTGAGATATCCAGAGTTCTTTCACTGTGCAATGCTGCCTCTCCAATAAATAAAGGAACAAAATAAATAAATAAAGCTTTCAAGGGAACCCTGAGGAATCCTCCCTCAAGCCTGTCTCCAGAGGGAGTTCAGTTGCCAGACTGGCACCTAAGAGCACTCTGGCAGAGGGGTAGGGGTCGTGGCTGGATTCCCTGGGCCAGAATGTCTGTTTTCAGAATGCTCCAGAGAACGGCAGGGCTCAGAGATGACTCTGGATGGCACGCACAGGCCTGTCCCCTCACAGCTTCCATGCCTGTGGACTGAACTGCCTTTGTTTGAAGACAGATTCCAAATGGCCTATGGGGAGGCAGGGCCCATAATGCCCCCTTCTGGGGCCGTGTCTGATACTGTCTTGGCATGACACCATGGACTCCCACTGGATCTGTTAGCCCCTGGCATGAGAAACAAGCCGGCTTGGTAGTCCATGGACAGTATCTACTTTTTCCCAGGGCCAGCTTGGCTAATACCCAGCAAACATGGAGGACCCCCTAAAGGTGGAGTCCTTATTTCACAGAAGGGGAAATTGAGGCCCTCTGACAAGTGGCTAGTCCAAAGTCACACAGCTGAACACCAAGAAGGCAGGGACCCCAGCTCAGTGCCCAGTGGCTTATCCTCTGGGTCTGTAGCTGGATATTAGCAGCAAACACAAGCACAGACCTCCAACCCTGACTCTCTGGGACTGGCATGAGCTGGTGCCCAAGCCCAGAGGCTGCCCAAAGGGCTGATATGACCAATACAAAAAACCACGGCTTCTCTGGAACTTGTCAGCAAGATGGTGCGGCAGCAGGGTGGGGATGTGAGTGGCTTGGCCACAGCCAGTGCCCCAGGGGAATGCCACTCCATTTGCTGAAGAGGGGGAGATATTTGCAGGTGGGCACCATAGCTACCCACCAGAGGGATGGGTTCTGAGCTGGAAGCCCCACCTGGGGTCTCAGCTCCCTTTGTCTCCCCCCGGTGAATCCATTATGATGTGTTTGAGTGTCCAGAAAATATATACCTTAAGATCTTCCAGTGACAGGCTTCCTGCCTCAGAGGCCTGATGGGGGGAACCCATGTGACCACCCCAGAGATCAAACTCGGCCTCCATATCCTCCTTTTTCCCCTAAAAACCACCCCAGCAGCAAGGCCCTGAAGCTTCCATTCCCATAGCCCTTCTTCCTGCTGGAGGCCCTGATGCTTGGGTGGCGTAAGCTTGGAGGTCTGGCTCTGAGCTGACTTCAACCTGGCGGCCTCACCACAACAGAAAACCCCATGGTTCCCCTGAGCAAATAATCCTTTATGATACAAGAAAGAGTTCCGAGGAGGGAGAAGGTCCCTGCCTCTCTCAGCTCTGCCAGAGTCTGCAGGGCCCCAGTCAACAGAACGGGTCAGTGCCCCCCACACTCTGCACTAGTTCAGTGAGTTGACCTCCTCCTGCCCCAGGCATTCTGACCAGCCCTGCAGGGCCTGACTGGGGCCATCCCCAGTGGACTTGCAGAAAAGCACCCAGACTGCCTTGTGCCTTACTTTGGCCTTGGTTGCCCCTCCTCCGGGTCCAGGCAGAGGAGCAGGCATGGTTAAAACCAAAAGCAGCCTCTCAGCTCGAGTCACTCACTAGAGTGCAGGCTAGAGATGAGGGGCAGGGTGACCAGGTCTGAGTTAAAGCTGCCCAGGAGACCACCTGGGGCTGCCACACAGCCTAGAGGGGCAAGGTCATGGGCAAAGCTCCAGTCAGATGTTCCCAGGTCACTGCAGTTGCTCAAGGCCAGGAGTGACCATTCCTCAGTGGGCTGGTTCCACTGTTCAGTTGGGGCCCCCGAGGAAGCCAGAGTCATTTCTAGGGGATCCTGTTTCAAATAGCCCTTGGCCAGGGCTGGTGGATGCAAGCCTGCTTCGTCATCCAGGCATCCCCTGAATTTGGGCCCAAGGTCACCTGTCAGGGGCAATTCTTCCTCCAGGCAGCCTGTCTTGGTTGCCTTCTCCTCAGCGCATCTGGTCTGCCTCAGGTAGCCCCGGAATACCACAGCAGTTGGGTCTTGTTCCGCAGGCACCTCAGGCTCTGGGGGACTGTCGTGGCCCAAGGCTGAGCCACCCTGTGTGTCCCCAGCCTGGCCCTCAGAGTTTTGAACTAGGCCAATGCCACTGTCATCCTGGCCCCTGCTGTCGCTCCCCACCTGCTGCTCCCAGGTGGGCCCAGTGCTGGGGCTCAGGCTGGGCTCCTGCAGGCAGATCCCGCTGTCCGTGCTATTGCTGCTGCCACTACTGCAGCTGTCGCCCAGCTCAGGGGGCTCTCCGTTTCCCAGCGTTCTGTCAGCCTGGGGGTGAGGGTCAGGGAGGAGGAACTGGGGCTCTTCAGTCTGCAGGGATGGTTTGGTACTGCCAAAGCCACTGTCCGTGCTGCCATGCAGGTCCGAGTTCCTCAGCTCTGGTGACACCTTCAGGAAGGCCTCCTCATCAAGTGGGTGGATGGTGTCTTGGGTCTCTGGGGAGGGACGCTGGCTGATGAAGATGAAGGCGTTGGGCTTCTTGAAGAGCTGGGGAAGAGAGGGCAGAGTGAGCGAGGCGGGAGTCACCTTCCAGCACCCATCCCAGTGCTGCCGGGGAAGGCCAGGCCCAGGAGGAGAGCTCCACGGAGGGGACTACAGTCTTAATTACACTGCAATGTGTTCTGTTTTGTTTTCAAATCCAGCTTTCCTCCTAATGCTATTCCCAGTTTGGCTCAGTCCAGATACATAAGAAGCTTGTATTCTTGGGCCCAGATGGAGTAACGGGCAGAACCAGGGTCTGCTGAGCATGGTGAAAACTCTCAGGTGGCTCCATCCACAGTGCTTTTCAAACCTGAAAGCAGGCTAGACCCACCTAGAAGCGTGTTTCAATCTTTTTTGACTATGACTCAAAATCAGAAATAAGTTGCATAATGATTTGTATATATACCCGTATGTAAATCACTGAAACCAGTTTCACAAAATAATACTCATCATTAGGAGCTGTGCCACAATATTTCTGCAGTTCTTATTCTAATGTATCCTAGTCTACGCCCTCCTGCCCATTTCATTTTCTAAAATCCTGGATGTCAGACACCAAATTAATTTCTCTATGCCCCCAGTCATGACTCACACGAACACAGTGGCTGCAGTGTGGGGCAGTGGCACAGGTGTGGAACTTGCAGAGAAGAGGCTGCTCTCTGTTAATTGCCAAGGGTTTTAAGGAAGTCACATAACCCCTCTGCCCTAGCCACACTGGTGTTCTTTCTGTCCCAGAACACATCAAGCACCAGACTGCCTCAGGGCCTTTGCACATGCTCTCCCTGGTGCTTGAAATGATCTCAGCACTTTATATGGCTGTGTCCTGTTCATGGTTTAGGTCTCAGTTCAGATGTCACTTCTTTAGCAAAGCCTTCCTGAATACCTTGACTAAAGCAGTACTCCTGCCACTCTCTCCACATTAACCCTGTTACTTCTTCCTAGCACTTTGTTCCAACTATTTTGTTTGTTTTCTGTCTCTCACCATACACACACTCACTTACTCCACATTCCCAAAAGAACACAAACTCCTTGAGGGCAGGAACTGTCTAGTGTTGTTTACTACCCTGTCTCCAGAGTCTAGACTGAGCTGGCACACAGTAGGCCCTCCTAAGGTCTGCCGACGGACTCACTGACTCACTGTTGCACATCTACCCTCATTTCCTTGGTACATGATGATTCAAATGCAGCTCTGATTGGTTGAGTCCCTATTCCTATCACATTGTTTGGTGATTTAGGATGTGTCCCCTAGAGCCAGACTTCATGGGTTCAAATCCCAGCTCTGACTCTTATCAGCTTTGTCACCCTGATCAAATTACTTCCCCTCTCTGTGCTTTAGCTCCTCATCTGTAACATGGAAATAATGACAGAACCTGCCTCCTTATGTTGTAGTTAATGTGTCTACAGTGCTTAGAACAAAGTGTGGTATATAGAAGGTGCTCAATAAATATATGTTGAATTGAACTTTAACCTCCAATAATTCTGTAAGAGAAGTATTATTACGTCTGTTTCCTAGAGGAGAAAACTGAAGCTCAGAGAAGTTAAATGACTTGCACAAACAGTAAAGAACACATCTGGAATTCATACTCAACTGTCCTGATTTGAAATTCCTTTCTTGTCCAATAATACTTACCTTGATGAACTGTTGAAAGATCAGATCAAACAAGCTAATGAACGAGAACAAACTAATGAATGTGCCAATGCTCTGTGCATTAGAATTTATTCATGTGGTGATGACTACGATCATCAGATGAAGGGAACTGTGCTATATTTATCCTGAAGAGAAAAAACCCTCAAGGACAAGACAGTTCTGTGACCCAAAAGTACAGACGGGGCAGAGTACGGTGGCTCATGCCTGTAATCCTAGCACTTTGGGAGGCTGAGGTGGGCGTATCACCGGAGATCAGGGGTTCGAGACCAGCGTGGTCAACATGGGAAAACCCCGTGTCTACTAAAAACATAAAAATTAGCTAGGCATGCTGGTGGGCACCTGTAATCCCAGCTACTCGGGAGACTAAGGCAGGAGAATCATTAGAACCTGGGAGGTGGAGGCTGCAAGTGAGCTGAGATTGCGCCACTGCACTTGTCTCTCTTCTTGTTTTCCCTAGAGATCCCAGGATCCCTCTGGAGATTCCCCTTCCAGTTGTGGGGCCCCTGCCTTGCAGATGGAGCTGGATCCTTCCCAGCTGATCCCCTGGCCATCATGCAGTAGTGCCAGCTATGGGGGCTATGGTGGGCAACCTTCGATGTGGCCTGAACTCCAGGCCAGAGACAGGCCGAGGTTTGGAAAATGCTGCCCAATCTTTGCAAGCTGAGTTTTGGAGGCTGGCTTGCCACAAATGTATCATTTGTCAGTACAATGTAGCAAGAGGACACACCCTAGGAGGGGAGGAGGGCTTGGCCTCCTCAAGAGCCCCTCCCTGCCCCAGCCCGCATCCCCTCTCCACTGGCCCAGCATCCCCACCGCCCCCCAGCGTCCTCTTTCCTCTGGCCCACTCTGACAGCAACCCAAGGACCAGCACTTCTGGCCTTTCCTTCTTTCTCTGTTGTCGAATACCCATGGCCACTAGCTGTGGGAAAGTGGGCTCCATCCCTGATGCTTCCCGGTTGTGTGGCCCTGTGTGTGTCATAATCTCTCTGTGCCTCAGTTTCCTCACTTATGAAAAGGGGTTAAAACTGTGCCTCATTATCAGAGATGCAATGCACAGGGGCTAGTCCATGGCCAACTACTAGTAGGTCATACCAAAATGGCTCGTGGTCATTGAGGTTTGTGATTCCATGTGTCTTATCTGAGCTACTGGACGGCAACATTCTTGGTACTGGGCTTCATGTTCACTTCCTCCCTCTGTCCCCATAGTGCCTGATGAGGGTATCTCCCAATCACACCAGGGCTGAGAGCAGAGGTGGGCTGAGGCAATGGACTGTCCGGGAGGAAAGGAGCTCCCTGCCCTCCTGGAAGCTCTGGTGTGGCTGGGAAGGATGGGGCAGTGACCTCCTTGCAAGACTCACCAGGACCCTGGGCAGCTTCTTTCGGCGCCGCACATACAGCTGGAGGGCCAGGCAGTAGGCCAGGGCTCCGGAGAGCAGCAGGACAAAGGCAAAGAAGATGATGACGTTGGTCACGGTGAAATCTGCAGGCCAAGAGAGAAGTGTTTGTGGCCTGGCCCCATGGAGCATGGTGATTCTAGTCATAGGACTCTGGTCTCATGAAATCCATTGGCCACTGTCAGGAACCACTCAGTGGCCCAAGGCAACCTACAGGCCACAGCTCTAGATGAGTCTAGGTTTCTGCAAATCCCCACCTGGTCTTCCAAACCATGCCCTGAAGGATGCCCTTAGGAGATGCGCTGACTGCTTCCAGCTCTCTGCACAGGACTCTCATCACAGCAAACAGAACGGCGAGGCAGGATGGTACAGCAGGTAAGAGTCGAGGCTCTGGGGGCTGCTAGATCCGGATTCAAGTCCCAGCTTCACCACTTACTAGCTGTGCAATTGTGGACGAATTACTTACTCTCTCGGAGCCACCAACCTCATAAGGCGGTTGTGAAGTACACAGCACTGACCATGTACCAATACCATGAGACTCTTTTAACTTTTATACTTATAGGAGGTAAATACTATCATTAGCCCCATTGTTACAGATTAGTATCCTGAAGCACATAGAAGTTAAGTAATTTGCCCAAAGTCATATACCTCAAAAGTAGTAAAGCTGAGATTTGAACAGAACTATTTCATGCATCAGTGAAAGAATGTATGAAAAACTCTTAAGGCTGCCTGATACCCACTTAGTGCCTTACTCTGCACTGAGACTTAAATGACACTGAGCTGTTGAATGTCCTTCATCAACTGAAATTTGTTGCAGATCTAGCAGGAGTCACTTTCGTCTTTGCCAGACCCTGCCCACACTGGACTGGGCCCTCCCAGAGCACTTCCTGTTGGCCTGATTCACTGGGCGCTGGACATCTCATCAGCTGTCCAGAGAGAGTTGCTTGTTACAGTCTCCTCCGTGCACACTGTATCTCCCCAGCCGGGACGCGAGATCCTCCTAGGCAGGACCGTGGCCTCCACGTCCTCTATTCTCTCCCTCCCCCTACAGCCCCGGCACCTGACTGACAGCCTGGAGCAGTATTTGCTGATGTTAGCAGCTCTGGTGAGGAGCGGAGCAGAGTAGGGGAAGTAAGGAGAAGCCCTTTGTATCCCTGGCTCTGAGGAAGAACAGCAGAAGACCTTAACAACAGGAACTAGCACAGCTGACTGACGACGGCCTGGGGGAGGGGGATGTTGTTGGGAAACATCACTGCGCTCCAGTGGGAGGACCCTAGATCACAAGAGACCTGGTTCTGCCACCAAGTCCTAGCTGTGCAACCCTAGGAAGCTGCTAATACTGAGTCTCAGTTCCCTCATCTCTAAAATGAGGACAGTAGGACCTCTCTCCTATTAAGGATGCAGAGTTATATGAAGCAGCACCTAACACAGTGCCTGGCACCAGCTTCCCGGGTGCACGCATTTTGGATTGCACCAGGCCCTCCCAGTCTCCCTCCCCATGCTGAGAGCAGCCCGGCTGACTCACACTGCCTGGTGAGGGAGATGCACTCCTCTTTAGACCACATCCCCTTGTTAGTTCGGGAAGTGACAGATGGTTTCACCTGGACACAGAACTCTCCCACTTCTCCAGAGGTTAGGAGGCTGAAGTTTTCATGTTTTACTTTCTTGTGTGTGAACTGGAACAAAAATGATAGCAATTAACAAAATCATTTTATTTCATGGCACACAGACACTGAGAGCTGGCGGGCCTTTAGAGGTGATTTCAGCCAAACCCCTTCAGTATCCTTTGTGTAAGATAACAACCCTCACAATTACCAAGGCAGCACATGATCTCTGTAATGACCACAATTTTATTTTGTATTTTAAAAGAAAAAGCAGTGTTTGACAGATGCTGAAGATCTCAGAGGGGGCTGAAATCAACTGTGGTGGAGAGGAAAGAGGGTGGATTGTGTAGATGCCAGCTCTCCCATACCAGGGGTGCCTTCTGTTAGGTTACATAGCCTCTCAGAGCCATATTGCTTCATCTAGAAAGGCTCTGGGTGCCCAATTGCCCTAGTAGGCAATGCCTTTGAGGAGCATCTCACAAGAGCATAGCTCTGAGGGCTGAGGTGGGTTCTGCTCCCTCCTCTGCTCACCTACCATCCCAGACCCTCCCTTTAGTCCACAAGCAAAGTTCCCAATGGCACACAAGGGTGCTTCCAGCCCAGGGGACAGGGAAGCCAAGGGAGCTCTGGTTCTGGGGCCTTGGGGAACTCCATACCGTAAAGTTTCCCGGCACCTTGCGAATGGCAATCTCATACTCTCGGAAGTGACTGAAGATGCTTTCATATGTGTCATTTGCAGGGGCCATCTTGGGCCTGGGGGGCTGAATCTTCCCAAGGATGAAGCCATTGTGGATCTCTAGCTTCACACTGCCAACTGTCAGAGTCACTAAATGGAGTGGAGTGGGGGGGCAAAACCATGAGACCTGAGGGCTGAGGAGGGCTTGGGTGTCCCCCCACAGACTTTGCCTCCAGAATTAAGCTTAATTAAAACCTAGGCCACAGGTTTGTCAGTGCGGCAGAATGTAAGGGCATCTTGGGGAGCACATTAAAAATACATACACCCTAAAATCAGATGCATCAACCAATGGAATATGACGGAGAGCCCAGAGATAAACCCACAGTTGATTTTCAACAAAGGGGCCAAGAACACACAATGGGAAAAGAACAGTCTCTTCAATAAATAGTGTTGGGAAAACTGTATATTCACAAACAGAACAATGAAAATAGATCTTTGTCTCACCCCTTACATAAGAATCAACTCAAAATGGATTAAAGACAAATGTAACACCTGAAACTATAAAAACCACTAGAAGAAAACCTGGGGCAAAGTTTTAAGACGTTGGTCTGGGCAAAGATTTCTTGGATATGATCCCCAAAGCACAGGCAACAAAAGCAAAAATAGACAAATGGGATTGCATTACACTAAAGAGCTTCTGCACAGCAAAAGAAACAATTACTAGAGTGAAGAGACAATCTATGAATGGGTGGAAAATATTTACAAATGTACATTGAATAAGGGGTTAATATCCAAAATATACAAGGAACTCAGACTACTCAATAACAAGAAAACAAATAAAATGTTTTTAAAATGGGCAAAGGACTTGAATAGACATTTAAAAGAAGACATACAAATGACCAACAGATACATGAAAAAATGGCCAACATCTCTAATCATCAGAGAAATGCAAATTAAAACCACAATGAGATACCACTTCACACCTGTTAGATTGGCTATTATCCAAAAGATGGAAGTAACAAGTGTTGGCAAGGATGTGGTGAAAAGGGAAACCCTTGCACGTCGCTGGTGGTGAATTTCTCAGCCATTGTGGAAAACAGTATGGATATTCCTCAAAAATCTAAAAATAGAACTACCATGTGATCCAGCAATTCTCACTACTGGGTATATATTACTTAATTAAGAATTAAGTAATAGAGTGCTTGGAATTTTCTTTAAAATGCTAAAGTAAATTTCATGGGGGGATATTGATGATCCTCCCTACCACCAATTACTTTAAAATTGGCCTAGTGTTTGCAGTTACTAAAGATATTGAAATTAGTGTATTGAAGAGATACCTGTATCCCCGTTCACTGCAGCATTATTCATGACAGCCAAGATGGAAATGCCCACCAACAGATGAATGAGTTTTTAAAATGTGGTATGTGTATACAACAGAATCCTGTTCAGTTTTGAAAAACAGGAAACTGAGGCCTGGCCCAGTGGCTCACGCCTGTAATCCTAGCACTTTGGGAGGCTGAGGCGGGTGGATCATTTGAGGTCAGGAGTCTGAGACCAGCCTGGCCAACATGGTGAAACCTCATCTCTACTAAGTATACAAAAGTTAACCAGGCGTGGTGGCATGTGCCTGTAATCCCAGCTACTCAGGAGGCTGAGGCAGGAGAATCTCTTGAACTCGGAAGGTGGAGGTTGAAGTGAGATGAGATCAAGCCACTTCACTCCAGTCTGGGTGACAGAGCAAGACTTTGTCTCAAATTGAAAAAAAAAGGAAACCGTCATTTGGGAAAACACAGATGGACCTAGAGGACATCATTAGCGAAATAAGCCAGGTGCAAAGAGATAAATACCATAAGATCTCACTTAGGTATAGAATCTAAGTAGAATTATTTTAGAATTCGATTCCTAGAAGTAGAGAGTAGAAGGGGTTACTAGAAGCTGGAAGGAGGCAGGTGGGGGGACGTGAATAGGGAACAAGGAGAGGGGTACCAAGTTACAGTGAGACAGGAGGAATAAGTTCTGGTGCCTATTGCATGGCAAGGTGAATGCAGTAATAATAATGGACTGTATATTTCAAAATAGCTAAAAGATAATATTTTAAATGTTTCTGGCAGAAAGAAATGCTAACTATTTGAGGTGATAGATATTCTAATTACCTTGATTTGATCATTCCACAAGGTATATATGTATTATGTATACATAACACTGTACCTCATAAACACGCAGAATTATTACTTGCCAATTAAAAATAAAACAAAAACTTTTTTTATAAAATGTTTTCAATACTTTACTGTTTTGTTTTTGTTTATTTGTTTGTTTTTTTGAGACAGAGTCTCCCTCTGTTGCCCAGACTGGAGAGCAATGGCTTGATCTTGGCTCACTGCAGCCTCTGCCTCCCAGGTTCAAGTGATTCCCTGCCTCAGCCTCCCTGAGTAGCTGAGACTACAGGTGCATGCCACCAGGCCCTGTTCATTTTTGTATTTTTAGTAGAGATGGGGTTTCACCTTGTCAGCCAGACTGGTCTTGAACTCCTGACCGCAGGTGATCTGCCCACCTCGGCCTCCCAAAGTGCTGGGATTACAGGCGTGAGTCACCGTGCCCAGCCCAACACTTTACTGTTAAGCATAATATTTACGGTAGGTGTGTGTAGATAGATACCTTTCTACAGGTTAGGACATTTTCTTTCTACTTTAATTTTGCTGAGTTTCTCTTTAAATGTTTTCTTTTCTGAATAGTTAATGTGATAAATTGCATTGATTACATTTTTATGTAGAAATTTCGGATAGACACAAAAGTAGAAGAGAATATAATGATTTCCAAAGTTCCAGCTTTAGTAATTGCAAACGCTAGGCCAATTTTAAAGTAATTGGTGGTGGGGGAGGGTCATCAATATCCCCACGTGAAATTTACTTTAGCATTTTAAAGAAAATCCCAAGCACTGTATTAGTTAATTCTTAATTACTTAAGTATGTATCTCTCACGTATCACACCTTTGTAAATATAACTACCATGCTGTTATCACCTGTAACAAACAAATACCTAGTAATATGCCCTAAAAACCATTTCATATACAAATATGGCAAGTTCCTCAAAAATGTCTTTTTATAATTGCCTTGCTCAAATCAGAATACAAAGAAGAACCAAACATTAAAAAAAAAAAAAAATACAGATGCCCTGGACCCATTCAAGACACAGTTAGCTTGGATTTCCGAGCCTGGGCCCTGGAAATAGGTATTTGAAACACCCTTGCTGGGAAATGTTTCTGCACCAGCTGAGCAGTGCCCGGTGAGCAGGCACTGGGGAGCCAGTGACCTCCCAGACCATCGGCTCTAACTCTGAATCCTACAGCAAGGTCTCCGTGCACACAAAACTTTCTTAATCCCAACTGGTGGGATGCAAAATCCCATTGAGTTGGGGGCTTATCCTTTCTTCTTACCTCTCCAGAAAGGGATCCGTAACTTCTCTTTAGTAACACTTCCCATTTCAAAGGGATGACCCCTGGGTGTTCACCCCTAAAGAAGCGGGTGGCTCACCCGAATTCTGCCTACTGCTTGCTGCCCTAATCTGAGTGTTCATGGATTCGCTTCCTCTCCCTGAACCCTCCCTCAAAAAACAAGTTCACAGGCCTGGACCTGGTGACTCAGCTGCCCCAATCCACCCCAAGACCTCTCTTCTGTAGGATAAAAAACTTCAGTTCCCTTTTAAATCTTAAACAACTTGGACTCTATTTTATCTAACGTTCTCCAAAGTCCTGCCCTGTTTGAGCAACTAGTTCTCCAGCCAGGGAGCCTGGCTGACGTGGTAAGCTATGGTAATAGACAGAAAAGCTCTAGACTAGAGTTCCTGGCTGGAAGGGACTTCAGAGACATGTTCTAAGTCAAGGGAGGAAAAGCACCTTCATCCACAGAGAAGCGGGTGTTGGTGATGGTCCAGTTGGAGTGCCGGCTGCCGTCCACAGCACGCACTCTGGCCCGGTAGCCATTGCTGCGGTACAGGTCCAAGGTCACCGCGGTAAGGTCATAGGACAGGGCGTGGCTACAGTTGGAGATGGAGTTCCAGGGCCCTATTCCATACCTGAAGAGATACGAGGTTAGGCACTGGAAAGGAGCTTGTGCTCAATCCTACCTCCTTTAAGGGAGACGCAAGAGGCCAGGAAGAGAGCTCCCACAGGGGGAGAAACTGGGACAGCCCTCAGGCTATATCCTCTAGTCCACGGCAGCTCATTGTGAGGGGTCTCCCTTGGTCCTGGGACCCTGTACCAATTTCCATGTGGTCTAGAAGATTTTTAGACAGGAATACGAGTAGTCCCAGCTCTTCCAGAAAGCCTTGCTAGCTCCTATAGCATAGCCCAGTCTCTCCCTTCTCATTGTGTTTGCAGTCATTAGGGTTCCCCTGTTGTCTGGCTATACTGTGGATGCTTCTCCTGCTTTTCCAGTAAGACAGAAAAGCCTTGGAGGCCAGAGGTGGTGGCTCATGTCTATAATCCCAGCACTTTGGGAGGCTGAGGTGGGCGGATCCCCTGAGGTCAGGAGTTTCAGACCAGCCTGGCCAACATGGTGAAATGCCGTCTCTACTAAAAATGCAAACATTAGCCAGGCATGGTGGTAGGCTCCTGTAATCCCAGCTACTAGGGATGCTGAAGTGGGAGAATTGCTTGAACCCAGGAGGCAGAGGCTGCAGTGAGCTGAGATTGCACCACTGCACCCTGGCCTGGGGGACAGAGCGAGAAGCTGTCTTAAAACAAAACAAAACAAAACAAAAGAAAAAAAAGAAAAGCCTTGGTGCAAAGGCTTTTCTTATTCTGGAGTGAGCAAAGGCTCTGGTCTTTTCACCCAGAGCTCCGGCATATTGCTCAACACAGGAGTCTCAATCAGTACTTGCCCACTGCTGGCTTTGTGTCAGGGGCCCTCAGGCACTCACTTCATTAACAAGGCAGGTATCTTCCCATACTAGGGGAGTAGGGGACTAGGCAGGGATTCACTCTTCCCTCCCCTTCGCTCTTCTCCTTTCCTCACCTCAGGAGTGCCACTTCATAGCAGGTACTTTCAGACTGATTTGGGATGGGTGTCCAGTGGAGGATGTGGTGGAAAAATTCTGCTTCAAACCACACAGATGGCGGGCTGGGCAGCTCTGTCCCTGGGGAGAAGAATGTCAGTACCACAGCCCCAAGGACCCACCCCCCAAGGATGAGGAGGAGGCTGGGGATGGTGGCAAGCAATATAACAGCTACCATTTCTTGAGTGCTTTACTATGAGCTGAGTGCTGGGCTAAGTACTTTACATATGTTCCATTTAATTAGCACAGTAGCCCTACACAGCAGGCATGGATGACCCCAATTTTATCAAAGAAGAAAGGCAGATTCGGAGAGGTTGTGACTCACCTGAGGCCAGTAGAGCCAGTAAGGGGCAGAGTGGGCATATGAATCCAGATATATCTGATTCTAGAGCTAATGTGTCTCCCTAAATCACTGTCCTGTGCTGTCTATGATCAGAAGCTGCAGTGGTGGCTGAGAAGAGCCAAGCTGAGTCTGATGCCTCCCAGGGAAGAAGGCAGGGGCCGAGGGCTAAGCAAGTTGGCAATAAGCTCTCAGATGTGTTAGTCGCTGGCTCTGCCCAATCCCTGTCTCTGCTCTAGCACTATTCCTAGGCTTGACCCCATCCCCACACCTGGTCCCCACCCTGGCTTGGCCCAGGCTCCAGCTCAAAGCCATCTCATTAAGTACACAGACAGCCCGCTTGCTGACATCTGCCTGCTTCTCTTCACAGGTCTCCTGGGCTCCCCAAGCTAAGTGCTTGCCTCATTCCCTAGTTTCTAGAAGGGCTTTGCCTGTAGCCAGATGCCCAATCCCTGGCTGGGCAAGGACAGATGGAATAAGTCAGCTCTGGCTCTACACACGACTGAGGACATCCCCACAAGAGCTGGCACCCGTAGCTCCCAGGCAAGATACTCAATACCAATTCCTAGCTCCACTCTCCCTTTACCCCTAGTACACACCATTCACCATGGGAAACACTGCTGAACCCATTGTCTTCTTTGTAAGAATGCAACAAACATTTCTACTTTTAAGAGTCTTGCTGATCGAGCAGACTGAAGTATGTGCAAGGCCAATGGCTGGTTGATTCCCCTTCTCTCCTCCTTGACCCCTAAGTTCTCTCCATTTGACAGCGACTCTGCTCCGCTCCCTAGTTTTCTAACTTCTCGAAATCTCTCTAATCATGCACCTGTTTTTTATTTATTTTTTCGGGGATGCTGTCATCTGTCTCTTGCTTTCTTTCTCATACCGTCTTTGATCTTCGCGTCAGTGCCTTGATTTCGAAACATTAGACGGAAAGTGAAAAACGCAGTGAGTCTTTGTGGTGTTTGGGCTGCACGTCCCCGACTCAGCTCTCGATCACGTGAATGGCTGACTGCATGTTTTACTTTGTATTTTGGTGTCATGAAGAAGCAGTTTCGGTCATTGCTCTCTGTCTCTGCTCTTGGTCCCTCCAACTCCGGGCTCTCTCATTCTCTCTCTGGGGTTTACTTTTCTTAGTGGCAGCAACTTTGCCAGAGAACTGCCTGGGTTAGGAGCCTGAACTAAGGGAAGAGGGAGGCAGGTGGCAGCGGGAGTGAGTCGGGGGCTACGGGTGGAGCACGGGGGATCAGATCGGGGACATCAGGGAGGGATGAAGGTGAGATGGGAGGAGGACAGAAAGCGGTTAGTTGAAGGACTACGAGAAGGGAGAGTCAGAAGATCAAAATTATTCCCCAAGGGGACAAGAAGTCCCGTCATTTGAACCTAAACAGCAAAAAACCTAGATCTAAACTTAAGGCTCATGGAGAAGTGGGTGGATGATGAGGTTTGCGGGGTGGGGGTTTGGCCTCGCACATACTTCTCTATCCTTCCCAATCCGTCAGTTCCTGTCAGCCTCAGCCTCTTCCACTTCCACAACAGGTAAGCCTGAGATTCAGGTTTGCCAGAGTAAGGGAGCCCGGCCCGGCACCCGTCTCCCCAGAGGGCCAGCCAGCCAGGGCTCTCCACTGGATGGAGAACTTTAACGGAGCGGGCGCGGAGAGGGCAGGGCAGGGAAGGGCCGCGTCCTAGAGCCTTACCATGAGCGTCTGAGCCAAGACGGCGACTGAGGAACGCCGCCAGCAGCACTACGAGGCGCGGGAGCATCCTGGGCACGCCGCATCATCCGGGGCCGGAGCCGAGCCGGCCTGCGCGCCTCCAGCGACCCTTAGGCTGGGACTGACAGCTGCGCCGTCCGCTCCGCCCGCGCCCAGCCGGGCTGACGTCCGCGGGGCGTTGCCTACAGACGCCCCGCCCCCGAGGCCGTGGATGGGGAACCACGTCCCACAGGGAGCCCGCCTGGGGCAAACCCAAGACTGTCCCGGGGCGGAAGCGGGCCCCGGCCACCCCTCCTTTCCCTTGCCCCTGGGCCTCCAGTGCCTTCGGGTCAAAGTGGTCCAGGTAGCCCTGCAGGCCGTGCGTGCGTGCGTGTGTGTGTGTGTGTGTGTGTGTGTGTGCGAGTGTTGGGGAGCAGGTGGCCAGGCACAGCCTCGCCCCTGAGTGCGGAAGGTCGGGTGAGGGCGTCCGACACGCTTTTGCTGGGCGTGCCACGGCTTGGAGTTGAAGATGTGGCCGCGGTCGCTCCAAATGGGGAGGAGGTAGTTGTAGGCGCTTGAAGGCAAGGGCGTCAGGATGGGGCTTTGGGTCTTGGCGTTGCCCCAGGGCCTCCGTGTGGGGGTCTAAGGACACCGATGAATGAGTACTGCGTAGTCACCTACCTAATTGTTGGAGGGGGGTCCACGACTAAGCAGTTTATGCAGACCTGCCCCCAAAGTCCCAGGAAACTGAGAGGCCCAAGAAAGAGGCTTTTAACCAGCAGCTTAACAGTTGAGCCTCAAACCGCGATTTTTTTTTTTTTAGACAGAGTCTCGCTCTGTTGTTGCCCAAGGTGGAATGCAGTGGCGCAGTCTCGGCTCACTGCAACCTTCGCCTCCCAGGTTCAAGCGATTCTCCTGCCTCAGCCTCCTGAGTAGCTGGGATTACAGGCAGGCACCACCACGCCTGGGCTAATTTTTGTATTTTTAGTAGAGACGGGATTTCACCATGTTGGCCAGGCTGGTCTCGAACTCCTGACCTCAGGTGATCCACCCGCCTCGGCCTCCCAAAGTGCTGGGATTACAGGCGTGAGCCACCGCACCTGGCCTTAAACCGTGTTTTAAACTTAGTTTTTCTTCTTTCCTTTTTTCTCTCCCGCTCTGGGCCTCAAGATATCACTTTGAGATAAACTGTGTGTATATTACCTCTCATCTTAAAATACAGCCTCAGGATGTGCTGTGAACATCCACTCCCTTTCCTGTCCCATACTGTACTCCTGTGCCTTATGCACGGTTATTTACCTACGTGCTTGTTAAGCACACGCTATGCTCTTATCTGGTCATATATTTCCTTAGATGCCTCAGGAGATGCATCCTGATAGGGACCAGGCACGTCCGGAATTCTCTCTCCAGCAAAAGCTTACTTCGGGAATTGAACCTACATCCTGCTAAAGAGTAACTAATTTATAACCTGGCAGGATCCACGATTGCACCAGCCCCGCCACCAATTAAGACCATAATTACAGAGGACCACCCGAACAAGTCATGCTACCTGGCACCTCCTAACCTCACCCTTGCCTTTTCTGCATTTCAGATCCTTTCTTAAAAAACCCCTGTGCTCCCCCCATGAATTGAAGAGTGGAATTGTTTGCTGCTCTTCCCCTGCTAGCACGACAGCTAGCAGATTTTCCTTTATTATCCATTCTTTCTACAAGCAGCAAGCAGCCAGACCCTTCTGCAGGAACTGACACATCCAGTTCCTTAGAAAAAAACATTTAGTAAGGACATAAACAGAAGCCACGTTTGTGTCTCCACGCTTCACTCCCAGGCCCCGGGCAAACAGACCATAGGGGAAGGGTGATTCAGAAAAGATGTGTAGGATAGTTGAAGTATGGTAACATCAAGGTTATTTGACCTAAGGGCCAGATTTACAGTAAGTGCTTGCACTTACACAAGGAGCACTTGATAAGCTGGGAATCTCAGAGGCCTTCTGGGAGACTCCGAAGCCAACATGGCCAAAACTGTGGATTAGCATCCAACATGGAGTTGCTTTAGCCTCCATAAGGACTTCTCCCAGCCTCTTTTGGGTTTCCCTCACTCGCTTGAAATCTGATATTCAGACCAATTTTTGTGTTGGGTAATAGCACTACTGGAGTGCTGGGTAACACCTCAGCCCATCCTCGGTCTCTCACACCTCTGTGTCACTTGGCTCATCTGAGGCCATCTCCAGGTGACCCAAAGATGTGAGGATATGGGAGACAGACTGTCCATCACTTTTTCTTGGAGGCTGACCCCTGCTTCAAAGAGTGTGTGTGCATGCACTTGCAGTCATATGATTTGCAGTGGCCGGTCTGTGGATTTGGATTTCATTGTGGTATGGAGCACGTGTCTGTGAGTCTGTTTGTCAAGTGCATATGCGTGCTTGGGACTGTGTGTGCATCCCTGGAACTCTGCCCTTTTTCTCAGAGACACCAAAGAAGAGGGACTCAGGACATTTCTGACCAGCAATGCCCCCCTCCAGGTCTGATGCCCCACCCAACCGGCCACACCCCACCCTGCCTGTATTGTAGTTTGTACCTTCATTTGGTAGTTCTTGTTCCTGAGCTCTTATCCTGTGTTCAAGAGGAATGAGGATTCGCTGACAGTTGAAAGGTGAGGATGGGCAGAGAATAATTTTATTGAGTGATGGACCAGCTCTCAGCAGAGAGGAGATGGGGAGGGGGGTGGTTCCCCACCCTCACAGTTGGGTGTTTTTTTTTTTTCCTCATTGTGGCTGGGTCCAGGGCTTTTTCTGGACTGAGAATAGGGAGTGCATGCTGATTGATTTGTGAGTATGCAAAAAAGGTTAAAGTGAAGACACCACTCAAAGGTAAGCACAACAGTGTAGAAAACCAGTTAGGATAGGGTAGGTGTATGTAAAATAGGTGAAGGGTGGGGATCAGTCAGAGAAAAATGTGCCAAATGGGAAGACAGGTTCTCAATCTGGTCCGAAGATTTAACTTGTAGCTTGGCTTTCAGGTTTTAAATTGTCTTCAACTTGGAGGTGGGGTTTCACCAGGGATTCGCCCTATCTGCCTAGGCATTTGACTGCCTTCTGTAACTATCACCTGCTCCTGGGAAGTTTCCCTGGCAGTGCCCAATGCCCACATGGAGGGCCTTATTCACTGCAGCTTTTGAGAAAGGGCCCCAAACTTAGGTGTATGACACCCGAACTGTGAGTGGTCTAGGAGTTAGTGAGGCATTATCCCCATGGTTTGTGGAGATATAATTTCCACCCTATTTCAATATTTTCAGAGTGGAAATCTCTCTGCCCAGTGGCCTGGACTGAGAGTGTGCCAGATTGGCTGGGGGTGGGAGCTGGGAGATCCCTTCCTGCATCTAAGAGTCTACACTGGGACTAGAAAGACCTCACTCTTGATGATAGTCAGCGAAGGCAGGGGTGCCTCAGCTACAGAGATGGGGGAGAATGGTATCTGCAGGCCTGCCAGGACACATGATCAGCCAGGGCCACCCTCAGGAGACAGCTCTTGTTGCCACACCCCCAGATGAGTGGAGAGGGCAAGCCCCAGGCTTTTTTAATGTGTGAAGATGTTTTTTTTTTATATTCTCTGTTGCTCAAGTGGGAAATAAGATGGTAAATTGCTCAGGAGTACCCTGTCATGACCCAAGGGGTGTGGCTGCCTTCTGAAACAACTACTTAGTTCCCCCTGACCTTTTAAAAGAGAAAGATACTGTGATGTTTCTTCCTGAACTTTTTTTTTTTTTTTTTGGTAGACAAGTTCTCTCTCTGTTGCCCAGGCCAGAGTGCAGCAGCACAATCTTGGTTCACTGCAACCTCCACCTCTCAGGTTCAAGTGATTCTCATGCCTCAGCCTTCCAAGTAGCTGGGATTACAGGCACCCCCACCACCATGCCTGGCGAAATTTTTGTATTTTTAGTAGATACGGGGTTTCACCATGTTGGTCAGGCTGGTCTCGAACTCCTGACTTCAAATGATCCGCCTGCCTCAGCCTCCCAAAGTGCTGGGATTACAGCCAACGCACCCGACCAGTTCCTGAACTTGTCTTTACTTTTATTTTTTGTTGATGTATAAGAGTCTTACACATTACCATTTTGAAGGAGAATCAAAATTTTTAATTTGTTCATATGACAATATTTACTGCACACTCGTTGTGGGCCAGATGCTGTCCTGACGCTAGGAATAAAATGGTGATCACAACTAGGTCCCTTCCCCCAAGAAGCAATCTGGCTAGAGACAGAAAGTGAACAGAGATTTTGATACACAGTGGTAAGTGCTCTGGGAAGGCAAGTACAGCCTGATGTGGGGACAAAAGACACGGGCACTCAACCACACTTGGGATAAAAAGATAAGGAAAGCTTCCTTAAGGAGGTGGCGTCTAAGTTGAGACTTGAGGGAGGAATAGGAGGTAGCTAATGAAGAGTGGATAGGGAGGGTATTCCAGACAGAAGGAAGTGTTTACTTGGAGATGAGGGAATATGGCCCTTTTTAAGAACCCTGGAAAGTGGGTAAACTGGCATTCTTGTTTTAAGATGAGAAAACCACAGTGGCTAACACAGGTTAATACCTTGCTCAGGGCAGAGCCAGGATTTGAATGCAGGCTATTCCAATGTATCCTGCTGCCTCATGGAGAGCACCCAGAATAGGAGTTATGTCAGGCATATGATTACTATACTTGAAAAGGAAGAAAAAGAAACACGGAACCCACATGTTTATTTTGTTTTGTATTCAGTGTTCTGAAAAGTCTACCCTGAAGTTCTGTGAATTCTGGTATTCATGCAAATAGAGAGACATATGATAGGAAGCAATCATTAAAGGATATTCTCTTTTAAAATTTTTATTTATTTATTTAATTTTTGAGACAAGGTTTCACTCTGTCACCCAGGCTGGAGTGCAGTGGATTGATCTTGGCTCACTGCAGCCTCTACCTCCCAGGCTCAAGCGATCCTCCCACTTCAGCCTCCTGAGTAGCTGGGACTACAGATGCAGGCCACCATGCCCAGGTAATTCTTTTGTTTTGTTTTGGTAGAAATGAGGTTTTAACATGTTGCCCAGGCTGGTCTGGAACTCCTAGGCTCAAACAATCCTCCTGCCTCAGCCTCCCAAAGTGCTAGGATTATAGGTGTGAGCCACCACACTGGGCCATACCTTCTATTAATATTTATTGAG